AAAATATGCACAGGAAAATGGCTTAAAATGCACACAAACTCTCACTCCACAGTAGCCTTCATCAATAGTTTTTTGTGTGAAAAATTACTAGTAATGCCTTTTGCAATTGCAAGAATCTGAATTTATAATAAATGGAGCATACTGTGCTTCTTATTTTAGGTAAATCTTTCCCAATTTTACTTTTAATGCTGTTTCATTCAAGTATATGCAATAAGCTACAGGATTCCTTGACTCAGTCCTCTGATCCACTGCTTCAGTACAAAACTCTGGCTGTGATCAGGCTGTTAAAATATCTAGATCTTGTTTCTCAGGAAATTAGTTGCACCTCTTTCAGTGGGCAAAGAATGCAACTTTGAACATTGACCCAAGAGTCCAGCTGCTGTCTCAGGGATATAAATTTTCATTCTAATTCATTTGCTTGAATGTGGCAGAATTCTTGTCACCTTGGAAAATCAGAACAATTATTTCAAGCGTTAAGTGGTAAATGGAACTTGGCTAGCCCTCCTGCCAATTTCTGAGTATTTGTTTCATTCTAGGAGATATGTGTGTCTGACTCCAGAAGACTAGCTTATATCTCAGGTGCATGATAAATTCTAGTGGGTAAAGGTTTTGATGCTACTAAATAAAATTGCTGATGTATTAATCAGGTTGAAGATAGGATTTTCTTTTAAAAACACTTTGGCTGACAATCTACATGAGGAAAATGACCATTTCCTTCCCTTCTCCTTTCATTTGAAAGATTCACACACAGCTGAATTCCTTGCTTGAGACATGGGCTGTGATGCTTCTGTGCTGCGGTCAAGAGCAGATTGTGGCCTTATGCCAGGGTGAAGGTTGTTCTTGCAGCTCAATGGTCAATTTGGCTTATGGGGAAACCTGTCAGGGACTGCAGGCTGGTGAAGATGTGGCTCATACCTTTCTACACTGAAGCCACACAAAAGTCAGGAGGCTCCTCTCCATCAGGACAACATCCCAGGCCACACCCCTCAATGGCTTTGCTTCATATCCCCTTTTAGAGTTTATGCCTGGCCGGAACATTGAGTTCTGATAATTCTTGCCTGGATGGAAGTTAGGGAGGTGCGTTTGTAGAAACTTACCTGAGGTAAAATGTGCTAAGGGAAATTGTACATTCATTTCTCCACCTATCAATGGCCTGTGGCCCCTGGAAGGTTGCCCAGAAAAGAATGTGGCCCCCAGGCTTAAAAAGGCTCCCCACTGATGCCCTCCACTGGCCTTACAAAATAATAATAGATTTTTACTTTCGTCAGACTTTTGTGAATCCTGTAAATTTCCCTCATGCAGGGGTGGTCTGCCCTGGGTATCACCACTGAGGGGGTGACAAAATGCCAGGCAGCACTCACTACGGGGCCTGCAGTGTGCCCAAGCCACGTGTCTCTCCTGGGAGAGATGTGGTGGCTTTGGCACTGCTGTAGGGCGGCTGGGTGGGAGGAGGCAGCCAGACTACTCGGAGGCCCTATGGAGCATCCTGCCCCAGCTGCCACCCCCGCAGGCGGCTGGCCCTGCCCCTGGGTACAGGGCATGCACGCTGCCCCAGGCGCGCAATTAGCTTGCTCTGCTGCTGCCTCACACCCTTGTACTTCCTGACGAGTGGGGAAGGAAGTTGTGGTGATGGGGTGTGTGTGTGTGTGTGTGTGTGTGTATGCAACCATTATCTAATCTTGTAATTCAAAAATATTACCAAGCATGGGAAATGAAACCAAAGACAGTATAGCAATGATGATGATGATAATAATAATTTATTTATACCCCGCCCAGCAACTCTGGGCAGCTCCCAACAGAATAAAACATCAAACATTAAAACTTCCCTACACGGTGCTGCCTTCAGATATCAATTTATATAACCCACTGGTATACAGTGGTACCTCTGGTTACGTACTTAATTCGTTCTGGAGGTCCGTTCTTAACCTGTAACTGTTCTTAACCTGAGGTACCACTTTAGCTAATGGGGCCTCCCGCTGCCACGCGATTTCTGTTCTCATCCTGAAGCAAAGTTCTTAACCCGAGGTACTATTTCTGAGTTAGCAGAGTTTGTAACCTGAAGCATATGTAACCTGAACCGTATGTAACCGAGGTACCACTGTATAGGAATTCTCAGATTCTCCCATCATTCCAAGCATCACACACACACACACACACACACACACACACGTTTCATATAGTTTAATAGAGTTGGTACCAAGGGTCCATGTGTTAGGCACCAGCTCTCAAATTTGTGGATCTCTTCTGCAAGATTATTCTAGTAAGGTAAATGGTAAAAGGTAAAAGACCCTTGGACAGTTAAGTCCACTCAAAGGTGACTATGGGGTGTGGCTCTCATCTCACTTTTTAGGCCAAGGGAACCGGCATTTGTTCACAGACAGCTTTTCGGGTCATGTGACCAGCATGACCAAACTGCTTCTGGTGCAATGGGAACTTGCCCCAGTGCACGGATTCGAACCACTGACCTTCCAATTGGCAAGCCCAAGAGGCTCAGTGGTTTAGACCACAGCACCACCCACATCCCTACATTTTATGCTAGTCATGCCCTCTCACTGAGTGGGTAAACACCGTCCCTGGTACCCATTCAATTGCCCTGTCTTCCTCTGGGTCTACTCCACAACACTGCCCCGGAGGGGGAAGCAAAGCAAGAAGAACCTTCCTTTTGTTCTTGTTACTTATCATATGTTTGGAAGCGGCAGGTGAACAGGTGGAGGTATCAAGGAGGAAGATCAATGCCAGAGGACAGAAGTAGGTCTCCTGCTGTGTCGTGGGCATCATCATGTGCCCAAAAGTGCCAACCTCTAATGTCAACTCTGTATTAAAATACAAATGCATCTTCTCCATCTTAGGGAATCCTCTTATGCAAGCTGAAAGGGATTACCAGTCATTGTGATTTGTTTATCATTCTAAAATTGTTTAAACCATTTCCAATCATGTTTGATTTTTGTGTGAGTACACATTTACTGGCTAGCACAAATAGCCTAAGTTAATTTATTCAGAATTGCAATTTCCCCTTATTTGAAGTACGGTTCTCTGAGTCCAGCATTTTATTTAGAAATCCAGATCTGCAGAGAGTTGTGGTTTTTGTTTTTTGTTTTTTAGGAAAAAGCAGATCTGAGTCCACTCTTCTTCTAGTATCTGTAGTGTCAGAGAAGTCAGCTGTGGGCGAGCTTCTAGTAGTAAAAGCTCATTAGTCAACTCCAGATTTTAATTTATTTATTTTAAAAATTGTTTATTAAGTGGTTCAAGCTTAAAGAGTGTGAGAACTGAGAGTTACATAGAAAAGAAAACGTAGACACTAAATCCTAGATAATTCTTACCTCTAGAGATTGTAAATTAAATTATAGAGGCTTGCATCAAGGAAAGACAGAATCCTTTTTGGTAAGACATGGGACTCATCCTGGAAGAAAATGAGCAAAAGAATACCAAGGCAAATTCTAGACACCCAGTTGTGTGGTGGTTCCCACCCCTAACCCCCCCCCCCAAGGGATGTGATGTTTGTGTGGAGCATCCAATCAGATATGTACCTGGTACAGCCCAAGATCCTCTCCTGGCAGGATGATAATATTTATTATAGCTAAGCTTATGTGTGTTGCTGGTTTTCTTTAACTGGATATGCCAGGGATTGAACCAGGATGTTACGTATATACACCATATTTTCTATCACTGAACTATGCTCCCTGACCAGAGCACAGAGAAGAAATAGAGCGAGAGAAGGGGAGATAAGTGTGTTTTGTGTCCTGCCAGCCTAGTGATGTTAAATTCTCGAGAATAATCTTTTGGAGAGTATTCTCGAGAATATTCTCAATTAATGAGAATATTAGAGAATTTTCATTCAAAATAGGAGAATATTCATTTTAATGCATTGAAAATGATATAGTTTTAATGCATTAAAATGATACAGTTACTTAATATACATGTTTATTCATGGGTAAGCTTGTTCAGATGGCAACCAAAAACTGTACAGATGGGGCAATGCAGTGAATTCACATTCTTTGATATATTTTTTCACCAAACTTGAAATTAAGTGGTTAACCTCCCAAGAATCACAACTCAAGATCTGAAGGCAGTCAAGACACACTAAACAACTGAAGATGATTGGCAGTGTGGATGGGATCATGGGAGTGGGAGGAGTCTAGAAAAATCTTATTGGTCAGTAGGTTAGCACTGTTGACATATAGGGAAACTTGTTGTTTAGTAAAGGAACCACAGTGAAAATATATAAGCACAAGCCTACTTGTCACTGGCAAGTATCAAATTAAAAAGTGAAACATGTTTTATAGTTAAAGTTAAACCATTCTAATGTGATAGCACCAGTAATTGTCATGTTAAGGTTTGGTATAAGGAAACTCAGTAGTTAAATCATATTTTATTCTTCCATTAGAACATGTACATGTTATAGGACAATTCAAAAAATACAATTGGCATGTTAAGGTTTGATACAAGTAAATTCAGTAATAGGCTATCTTGTGCTTCTAATAGCTCTAACACTTAATAACTGTTTTGGTGTCTAAAACACAACTTGATAAACAAAACTATATGCATACATATAAAAAAGAAGCCATTAACACTGGCAATATCACAGCTTGACTTATTATTTACTAGATTTTTAAAATGTGGGTTGTAAAACTGGTTCTTACATTAGAATTTAGCGGAGAATATTCTCACCTCACATCACTAGTCCAGCCCCATCAGCTGTAAGAATGCAGGTTTCTTTTTCTCAACAGCTTTCTTTCCATGCAACATTGGGCTCTGCCCCTAAAAGGCTCCTCACCCTTGTCTCCCATACTGGGGATGTAGGATAATTCTGATGAAAATGGTAGTAAAAATTCCCAGTGTTCACTTGGTTGCTCCATGTATAGAATGGAAGTCCAGCAAATACAATTGGGATTCACTGTTCTTTTCAGTTGCAGATTTTGCTTTTCCTCCTTTCTTCATTGAAATTAGTGGTGTTGAATAACATAACAATTTGATGCATTACATAATTCATGAGGGAAATAGTTGTAGCTCAGTGGTGGAGCATCTGCTTTGGATGCAGAAGGTGCCAGGATCAATCCCTGTCATCTCCAGGTAGGACTGAGAAGGTTTCTGAATGAAACCCTAGAGAGCCACATTTACTGCAGACAATACTAAACTAGATAGACCAGTGCCCTGACTCAAAATAAGGCAGTTTCCTATGTAAAATTGGACTGAGAGAAAAATAATGTCATTTCTTTTGGAAACTGGCCTGCATCTGAACAAAAATTGTGCTGCATGTGATGCATACATGTTGGAAGAAGAAATAGGTACATCCCTATCCTAGACCAAACTTCCTTTGTGATGGCTGAATGAGGGGGAGGGGGCAAGACTTCTGCTTGTAGAATGCCTCCTTGTAGAAGCAACACTATAATGCTTAGGTTTTCTGAAAGTACCTGAATGGTAGCACGAAGTCTCTTGGGAGGCTACATAGTCATTAGGTACTTGCTTTTGCCTAACACCCTTAAAGAGCTACTCAGCAGAAGCTGTGGACAAGGAAGATTAATCATTATAATGTGCCCAGTGCCACCTAATCCAGGAGGAAATCCAGCCCAAATTTTCTGAACTTTGGTTGGTGTTTGAGAGCAATTCATTAAGAGATTAATTTCTCTACCAGGACTGTTCTTCTGTTTCATAATTGCTATTGATTCAAGGTCTGATCTGAAGCCCACTGAAGTTGAACATAGTCTTTTGGCTTTTTACCAAGGTATTTCAAGCTGTAATTATATTTAGGTGTGATATCCCCCCCCCTCCAGTTTTAGTTTTCTTTTGTTCTAGCTTCCCACAGATTTCAAGAGGATTTTTGGGTTGGGGTAGGAAGCTATACAGATAGCTTGGTCTTTTTCATTTTAAAGAGAATTCCTTTAAAAAAAGAAGAAAGAAAGTCTAAATATTAATACAACTTTTCTCAAAACTTGCAGTGGCACTTAGTTGGAATCCTTTGGTGGGAGAATGCTACAATCAAGATGGAGGGATTGAGGGCTCCAGGCAATCTGTCTTGTTTGCATTCTTGCAGAACCATACAATGCCTCATTCACACTAGTTATACCTTATGGAGGCTGTTTGGGGAATATCAGAAATAAAGCCCCCATAACCCCCAATGCAAGCATCACAAGCTTTCTAATTTTTGTGCTGCAGCACAAGCTGCAGTTGTGAAACTGTTTTCTTAATTTAGGTTTTCTTAATGTAGCTTGACTTGAATTAATTTCATTATTTTAGCCATTCAAGAATATATACTGCAGACCACTTTGGAATGGAGGACTGCATTCCCTTCTATAGAACCTTCTGAGGGCCACAGTGGTGGGCAAGGTCACAGGCAAAAGTAAGCAGAGCAACAAATGCAAATTTGTACCATTATACCCTGGGCTGGTTTCTACCAGTGCTCTGCACACCTCTCTCTCTCTCTTCCATCCCAGCAAGCAAGAGGCACAACTATTTGTTCAAAGACACATTCCAGCCAGGCAGGAACACATTTAGGTTTAAAGCAGGGCTAATGGGGGATATATCACCTGGAAACCCATGTCCCCACTGTGGAAGGATGTGTGGATCCAGAATTGACCTCCAAAGTCACACTGTTAAGACCATATTCATGGAAGACACTCTTAACTTGGCTACAAGTAATCATCAGATAAGAAGAATGGGGGATGTGATCTAGGGAGAGTTCTGAGGGTGAGACAAAGAAGCTTGGAGGGCCACATTGGGCCACTGGGCCTGAGGTTCTCCAATGCTTCGTTAAAGTGAATTTCCACAGTACCTCTCAGACTGTGAGAAGGAAAACTCCAAATGCAAGATAAACATCTGAATGGCACTTTGAAGAGCCCGTCAGCTCCAAAGCATTTCTTCAGGAGGCCTTAGCATCCAGGATGACTATGTCTTACCTCCACTATCAGAGAAAAGCATACTTCTGAATGGCAGTTGGCCATTGTTGGAGCAGGCGGCATCTGGCTGGCCACCATGCTGAACTAGACTGGTCACTGCTCTGATCCAACAGACTTCTTACAAAAATAGATAAATATGTGTCAGTATTAAAGGGATGCGTTTCCAGGTCAAGGGTTGCTTTGAACAGAGCTCTGGGTGCTGGACAGAGATGCCCCCAATATGAAACCTGGTGGGTGAGTGAGTGCCCGAGAGAAGGCTAAACTTTAAGCTTTCTCCATTCTCAGGGGCAGGAATCGTGCATAGCTCTTTAGTGCAGAGCCCCCTGACAGCACATTTGTCTATCAGCCATTTGGATTGCAATGGGGGAGGGGAGGTCTGCCAGAAATCTCTGCAATGGCTCTGGCAGTCCTCAGTCCAGCTCCGTCAATGGCAAAGACTGGAAGTATTTGTGGACGAGGCTCTACTGTGTGATTGGAATTTTAATGATGCTAACCCATTTCAGAAATAGGCCATTTGTTTCGGTTAAACAGTACCGTCTACTTCCAATTAGGCTGTGTTACTGTGATCAAAGATTTGATCTGTCTTGTGTGTGTTAAGTAACCCCCTTCAGCATTTAAAAGTTAGAAACTCTTCATCTTGCATTAATGATAGGGAGCCTCCCATTACTGCTAATCTATTTTTAAAATCTTTTTTTTTTTCAAAAAAAAAAAGCAGGCTTGAAATAAACTGAGAAATAAACTCCAGAACTGTGTATTGCACAAACCTCCAGTAACTCCTCTTAATCATACAGTAATGGAGATCTACGGGCAAGGATTGAGTTGGTGATTATCTTAGCATAACTAAGTGTAGATCAGCATATTGTGCAGAATGAGGTAGTAGATGAAAAGGACAGAATATTGGACTTGTACCATTTCAGTCCGTTTGTAGAAAAAGGGCTCGCTTTATATTTGAATGTTCTCCACTTAACAATTCCCTGCATGCAGTAAACCAAAACATCACGAAATGTTTAGTGTGATCCGTTCCTCTTAGAGATGCTATGAAGGGAGCAGTTTTAAAATACACAGCAGGAGCACTCATGCACATTTACACATATATGTACATGCACATCGCAATCTGAAGTGGCACTGTTCCAAACCTTGACTGCTCTGTGTAATGTATATATCAGCTTTTATTATGAGTCCTCTTTTGTGTTACTTGTCGAGAGGGGCTGCACTTTTGGGTTTTCATTCATTCGTTCTGTTTTTTGCTCCCATGACGCATGACTCCCCACCCCCACCCCAGCCCTGTTTATGCCCTATACATGTTTACATGGCCATGTGAAATGGTGACGCCACCATGACTTTACGTCTTTGTGTGGGGCCTACCTTGATTCTGGAACCTTGGGAAAGCTTCTGCACAAAGAGCTAAATGAGGTTTTCCAACTCAGAGAGCCATGGTAGCAGACACAGTCGTAGTGGGGGAATGGGGCCAAAAATGCAGCCCCTCTCTACTAACTGTCTGCTTTTCTGAAACCCTGGAACGCCACTGCCAGTAGATAATGCTAACCTAGATGGTCCAATGGTCTGATCCAGTATAAGGCAGATTCCACTATTTTCTGTATTCCTAAAATGTTGTCAGCAGTCCCACACTCTGAGTTCTTCCTCGCCATCCCCATCACTAATCCTTACTGACTGGCCTTCTTTCTCTGGACCAAATCTGCATGGCAGCCCAGAGCATGAAGTAAGGGGAAAGGAAAGGCTGCTTCTTGCTGCTTCTCCTCACACCTGTCATTGCTTGCTCAGGGAAGGCAGGTGCCCATGCACTAGGGATTTGGGGGAAGAGAATTCAGTTCACTTTGTATTTAAAGGTGAATGTACCTAATCTGCACTTTCCTTAACAATGCACAAACCAAAACACAGGCACCATTCAAAATCCGCACTTTTCAGAATGTTGTGATGTGCTTCTACAGACAAGTAATGTGCACAAGAGTACATATATAAGGATAAAGTGTGCATACTGTTAGAGAGAATGGCATACAGAAATGCATTATGTTGGGGAAAATAAGCCTGGAAAATGTATATATACGTCAAAATTGCATATAAATACATATAGTGTGAGAAATTCACAGTGAGATGCTGATGAGTTTTGCATGAGGGCTTTCTGAAAAAAATGCAAACTCATGTGGAATAAATATAAATAGGGAGAATTCAGCATTGGCATATTCACCCATCCTTGCTATGCACAGGATAGGGGGGAGGCAGCAGGGCCAGTGTCCATTAGGTGTTGACAGTGTGTCCCCCTTCTGAGCCATGGGACCTGGCAGCTTCAATGAATCCTGATGCTAGCTCTGTGTATGAGCCCCCAAACCTAAACCCTCTTAAGTTTCTGTCTCGTCACCAATATTACACACAGTGTCTTTGAGCTTTCAGTAACATGTGGGAATATTTTTTACCTGCGACCCACAGGAGAAAAAGGCAGCACCACATGCTACTGAATTTTATTTTATATCATAGTATTCCTGACTTTGTGGAAATAAAGGGTTTATCCTGCCCCCCCCCCAGTTGGTATGCAATGATGTGACAGGCAGCGTGTGGGTTACAACAAAGTCGTTTGGAGATAACCTGAAATGTGCAACAGAATTCAGGCCATGAAAGAGAGCCTAGCAAGAATTTGACCCAGTTGGACTCCCAGAAAATGACAATAGGCTTGTCAATGAGATAATATCTGATTCTGTCTCTCTGCATGTTGTTTTTTGGCTTTGAAATGACACAGGAGCTTTTTAATAGCAGAAAGGCCTTTCCCCCTCCCCCCATGGTAAATGTTGGTGTTTCTTGATGCTGAAATTCTTTGTGTTCAGAGGTAGCCGTCACCCTGTGACATATAATGTAATCAGAGCACCATAAGACCCAAGACCCATCACTTGCTGCTTCTAGGCAGGGACTGCCTCCACCCTCATCCCTTTTGTGTAGTTGTAGGTAGTCAGTAGTCAGTGGAGATTCAGGAGCTGGGAGCCAAAAGGGATGACAAGGGAGTCAAAAGGAGGGATGTCAGAGAATTCCAAGAAAAATGGGAAGTGGAAATTGCCAGTGTTCACTTAATTTGTCTCATGTCATTGTCCAGAATAGTGTTGCCTGCTTCATGACAATGTAGTTAATGCAATTTCCACAATTAATTATATAATTAAGTTATGTAATTT